TTATTTATTCCCACCATTTCAAACTTTCTAATATGAACATGAAAATACAAAAAAAAACAAAAAAAAACAACAACAACAAAAACAGAAATCGATACAGCAGTGCTAGTAGGATTGCTCTCCAATACTAGAGAAACAAAAGCATGTAACAGAAATATTAAAATTATTATTTGCAAAGCACTTATAAAACTATAATATAAAAATAGGCCTATTATTATTACAAATAAAATCATTATTATGTTTATAATAATAATAATAGGCCTAATAATAATAATAATAATAATAATAATTAATAATAATAATAATAAAAAGTAATAATAATAATAATACTAACAATAATAATAATAATAATAATAATAATAATAATTAACACGGTACGATGCAATAAAACCCCTGTGATTATTACAATTAAAATCATTATTATGTTTATAATAATAATAATAATAAAAAGTAATAATAATATTAATAATAATAATAATACTAACAATAATAATAATAATGATAAAATAATAATAATAATAATGCTAATAATAATAATAATGATAAAATAATAATAATACTAACAACAATAATAATAATAATAATAATAACAATAATATAATAATAATAATAATGATAAAATAATAATAATAATAATGATAATAATAATAATAATAATAATAATTATTATTATTATTATTATTATTATTAATATTATTATTATTATTATTATTATTATTAACACGGTACGATGCAATAAAAAAAATTGTGTGATGCCAGACCAGAGAAAACTCACAAATCCCATCAGTTACACGCCGTACGAAAGCGACTTAAACTTGAGTATAAGCATGTGGCGCAGCGTGTTGGATTTTCCGGCAGTTAGGGTTGAGACCGACGCCCATGTGTCCTTGGGCAAGGCACTTTACTTACGTTTGCCTCTCCCGAGGAGTATGTTACCTGGTACGTTGGTGTGGTATTGAAGCAGCAGAGAGCGCAACAATGTTCTGGTCTCAGTGCCAGGGGAATACTGACGCCAGCGTCTTGTATATTATTCGGTTACAGTAAATGTTGTCGTCTGAATAATAATGAATATTGTGGTATGAATGAATAGTGATTTTCGAGTCCGCATAATTATTTTAAAAAAAGCAAAATTTATAGTGGTGACCCATTCTATTGAACGTGTATATTTTCAGTTTTATTTGTTGCCTGTGGAAATAAAGCATAACTGAACGCTGAACAAATTTTGAACGATCTAATTCGACTTTTATGCTAGTAATTATATATGTAGACATTTTTTCAATATGTTTTTTTAATTATAATTTATGCACTGCACATTGATACCACAAGTGTTAAAGATTCAATCTAAAATATCTATTCCTCAAAGCGGGACTACTTTGGGGCTCGAATTTCAGTGTGTACTGTAGATGGTTCAATAGGAAAGTACAAGTTTAAATTTTTAAACGACGCGCTATACAAATAAAACAAGCTCAAACGTACTGAGGAATTTGTTTACATAATATTCTTAGTATATTATTGTTAACTAAGTGACCAAATTGCTTTGGGGCACAGAAGTCCCAACAAAAGAGCCAGATAAGTGCTCAAGGGGGTCATATCTGTAAAAGTTTGTTCAAGTTAGAGTTTCGTCGTTCGTGCTCTTAAAATGTAGGAATACTTCCATTGGGTGAGCGGCGAGAGGCCGTCACCTTAGGTTCACACTCGGATATTTTTACTGTATGTATTTAATATAATGAGCATAGTCATAGAAAAGAAGCCCTATCTAGGCCTAATTGTTTCCATATAATTTTCTTATTTTCTTTATCCTCATCCCTCCTATCAAGGCCCGTATTTTGATCTCCGGCATTTTTAAAAAGCAATTTTTAAAAATCCTCTATATCTTGCAACATTAAATGACAAACCTTCCAACGTTTTAGTAAATCGATGTTTTTCAAATTGCTAGGCCTAAAAATATTGACGCCATTAATAGCCTACATTTATCATTATGATTAACAAACGATGAGTAACATCGAAAGTCAGTCAAATGAGTACTGTCTCTTCATCTCTGACGTCATAATTTAAAAACTATCTTTATCCAATAAGAAACCAGCAGCGACAAAATAGTGTCCCACCATTGGTCGAAAGTAATGTGTACAAATTAGTGAACGGAGAATGTTCAATTTAAGGAAAGAAACGCTCTTGTTCTTGTTGACAAACGCCTTAGTGAGTGTAATGTCAGTTTGTTATGGCGTAATTTATGTTTTTAATGTAATTTTATTGTTTCGATTGTCTATGTTGATAAGAATTTGGCAATTGATTCCGTTAGGAGAGGTCATGGTTGGAAGGTAAGAAAGCCTTATTCTCGACTAAATTTTAGGAAGCACTATTTTTCCCCAAAGGGTGGTAAAACAAATGGAATGCTCTTCCTGCCCACAGCGTGGAAGCGAAAATTACCACACAGTTTAAGAGAAGATACCAGGGTCGGAAACGGCCCTCCAGCCCTCAGCGCCACTTAAATAATTTAGTGGCGTTACGGTGATACGGTGAGTTATGTATAGGCAAAGATACTAAAAAAAAAAGAAAAAAGATAGAGTTCTCCACAAAAAGTTTTCCACCGAAATGCATGGTGGGAATACAAACAATGTGGCGCCGCGTACGGCTGGATCTAAACAACTTCCTCAAAAACCTCATTTGGCGGCCCGTTTGACGGAGGTAGAAATCGTTGCGATCTACTACCGTATCTTTAGTAGGTTACCGTTGTCGAATGGGTATGATACTCGGCTTGAGCAAGAGGTTTTTGGTTCGAATCCTGCCAGAGACACTTTTATTCATGTAACTCAGACAAGCATTATTAATTGTTTGATAATATGCTGACCGTTTTATATACGGTCACACGGTATAGTATGCGGCGCGGTATGCTATTTTAATACCTAAATTAGGCCTATTTGCTGTGCAAAAACAAATTGGCGCGTTTATCTTCCAGTTCGTCTGCTGTAAGTTTGACTTTTATGGAGGTTGCCATAAAACACATTCATTCAGTCAATCAATCAAGCAAACAAACAATCACCGTATACATAAGAGGAATATGGTAGAAATACAAGTCATACACGCTGGTTACAGTATCAATATCTGATATTGTGTTTATACGTAAATATCAAAGCATGAAAAATGTCATGAAAGTTTTCAAAAATGGAGCAATATTAAATACTATCTTTCTTTTCTTGATATGTATTGATTTTCACAACAGGTGAATGGAACTTGAGACGTCTTGGTATATTACCGTTAGTACTCTTTTATCATTTGTGAAAACAATGGATAAGGGGAATGGGATGTCAGAGGCGCATAGGATGAAACAGTAAAACTGCACGTGTTTGGGAGGCTTTTATTCTATACATGGCTCATTATTCGTAAACATTACATTAGTCTACCTGCTATTTTTAGAAATGTTAATGATCTGAATACCGAACCCAGGAATTCAACACCTAATGGATATGTTTCAAATGTAGGCCTAATGACATGTAATAGACTACATAATAGATCATAAAGTTAAGACAAAGGTCCGAGGTCCGAAGGCGCTATGAAGGCCCTCTCAAGAGTATCCCTATCTATGATTTCAAATGGTTTTGAGGTATCTGCAGATATATACAAAAATATTTCGGGGGTGGTTGGAAACTTCGCTGATAATAGGCCTAACATTATTATAAACGCGTCTCTTACCGTGTGAATTTAAGAGTGAGCAAGTCAACATTACAATCTTCAACTAAGTTCGCAAATAATTTTCCCGCTGTGGAAAGGACAATACAGATTTCATCGGGAATCGAACGAATTAGCATTTTGGTCGCTTATATTCTACCTCATTATTTTGCGTATGCTTTTTATTTTCATATTTTTATTATCATTTTTTCAATAAAGTGTGTAATGTGATGCAATACGCAGATGAAGACTGAAGAGACATTCCCATTGTCAAGGATAATTATTTAATAACAGCCTGTGTCATTATGGAAAAAAAGACAAACGTTTTCATCATCACGTGCCACAACACGCATCTTAATCAGAAGGTAGATTAATTAAACATTGCGTGACGAGACATTTTGATCTTTGATTCCTGGTAATAGTTGGTATTTGGTAGTATAAATAAATATATCATAAATTAAAAAAAAAACTATTAATATGTCAATGTTACCATGCAGTTACATTGATATCAATTATTGGTCATGGCAGTTGAAATATGCGTTATTCAATAAGCTGTGTTTTGTAACAATTGTAGTTGATTTTGTCTTTCATATTATATATACCTGGGTCTCCAGCGGCTGCAGCATGCCTTCCCTAACTGGATTACTTTGGCCTTCGTAGGAAATTCGTATCCTGATTGGTTGAGATTAATGCTGGTAAAGCACTAGTACTCGACGCACGCTCATCAAAAATTGTTAATAATAGATAATAAAATGAATACAGGTCTCCCTATAATTGAAGACCTCCAATTAAAGACCATTTTTCTGTGGTCCCAACTTAACAAATGTCTTTTATCTTTATTATTCTAAATAGAACCAAATCTGCTAAAGACCAGGCAAACCGCTAGTCCAAAAATGATCTGAAATTGTAAGGAGACCTGCAGTGCTCTCTTTGCTTTCTAGATTTGGTCAGTGAGTAAATCACATGTATAACTTGTTATCTTTGTAATACAACCAACAAGGTTGACAAACACAATGTTTACATTTTTGTAGTTATGAAGTTGAAAACCATGTTGCCATCCTATTCATACCAAGAATTGAAAATGGTGCGTGTGCTGTGTGGGTAAAGGGGTACCAAGCACGAATTAACCCCTTTCGAGTGTCCACACTCACGTATTACACACTAATTACACTACGATGATTCACTTAATTATAATAGTATAGTTAGTTTATGTTATCAGGGAAAGTTCAAATATAGATAAAGATTCTATGGACCGTCACTAAACATATATAAACTAGAAAAATTGGGAGGCAAGACGATAGAAATAGTGTATATAATGATTCTTAGTACCACACGAGTTTTAGAATAGGTCTTCTGTGTATCACTTTGGCCTTAGACGGTGTTATATTCACAGAAAATCAAATCTACCTCCAAAAACATCAAGTTGTATAATTGTTTGTGATTATAGGGCAAATACTTCAGCGTAATTCCCGATTTTACAAGAATAATCGTAGGAAATTATCCGAAATGAATCAGTTTATATACATCATATGTACAGTACCGGCACTCCTTTTACATGTAAGTATAATAATATAATAGTATATTAGGTATAAAGGCTGTCTCTTATACACATCTAGATGTGTATAAGAGACAGGTTCTCCACAAAATACTGTACTTTTGTTTTCTGCTTACTGAGTTTATAGCGGGCGTACTTCTACCGCGCTGTGCAGCGCTGCACTGGGTCTGTCTCTTATACACATCTAGATGTGTATAAGAGACAGGATGTATAGTAAGTGTATAGCAGATTAACTAGATAAACAGTTTGGCTTTGACTGAATCAGTTTGTTTGTTAAGTGTAGGTTTCAGTTCTTTGATCCAAAGCATTTCTTTAAATAAACAATTAAACTTGGATTTGCACTTAGATAAAACCTTGAAATAATTAACAGTTTCAGTAGCACTAATGTCACAATGATCTTTTAAATGTTGTCCTATGTTACCTTTACTGTGCATAATCATTTCTTATTTAAAATATAATTATTTAATCAATCAGTAACTTGTGTTTTTTTAAATGAAATTAATGATTTTCTTTAAAAAGATGCTACCCAAGGCGAGACTTTTTTTATACCTTGTTTGACAAACTCGCTGACTATTGTACATTTTACTGTACTGTTTTTCCGTTTTAAAATGTTTGTGCTCGTTAGCAATTTAGATTTGTTGTTGATGTTATCCATGTCTATTACCGAATTTTTCATTAGGGCCATTTTTACCTACCTGTCATATGGGGCCATTTTTACCGGGGCCATTTTTTCCGGGGCCATTATTTCCGGGGCCATTTTTTCCGGGGCCATTTTTTCCGGGGCCATTCTTACCTACATTCGCATACCCAACCCTAACCGAACTATGCATTCTTGGGTAGGGACGTTACTCCACTAAGGTCCTAAGAACCCGCAGTTACATCTCATGCTTAGATTTACAGTTGCACATCAGTTTGGAAAACTGAACATGGTATCGTTCATTTAAAATCACTACGGTACTAAATAGTAAGTTTATTTCATATAATTTATATTATAGCCCCATACACATTTTGTTCTTCAAGTTATGAGCTTTAATCTATGCACTATAATAATTATTATGATTAATATGGTCGTTCTACATATTATTTAATAATAATAATAGGCCTAGTTTAATCTTGATTGAGCGCATTATGCTGAAAGGAAATGCACTTTACATTAGAAATAAAAATCCGGAATTAAGCAAAAAATATAAATTAACAAGATGTGTTTTGAGTAGTGCATTCATTCAATCTTAATTCAGTTAATAACGTAACACTCTGGCTCCCAAGTCTGTTAGTCCTGTCTTAAGATTTTTTGAACCTCTCATTAAAAAGCAAAGCATACCGGTAACTAATATAGTGATAATAATAATGATATGATAATGATAACATGAAAATATACAATTACGAAATTAAATAATTCATATTTTCATTTTAAAAAAGCAAGGCAGATGAAGAGATGTATACTAATTGAATGTTAAACAGTTATTGTTATATATTGTTGTTGTTATTGTGGTTATTTGATAGTACAAATTGATAATTAGGGAATAAAACATATAAATTAGCGAAATAAACGAATCAACCTAAGTAGCTAAACAATAACATAGGCTATCTGGTACTGGGTATTTATATTGCGCCTTTCCCTTCAAACAACAAGGACAAATAAACAGATTACAAAAAACAAAAAAAAAACAAAAACAAAAAACAAAAAAAAAACACACACACAAAAGATAAGAGCAGCAAAAGAGTGCTTATATGCAAACAAGTAAGTCTTGAGTGCACGTTTAAGAAGATTAGGATCTGAGATAGGCCTATCTCTAATGTCAGCTGGAATATTATTCCAAAGTTTAGAAGCATATTAAGTCAACTAAGGGCGAGCATAGAGCCATTTCAGCTAGAGCTGTAAAATTAAAACTATGGGCCTATTATTTGAGATGTCTTCCGATCACTTTATTCACCAATGTTGACATTTTAGAAGGAACGTTACCGTATCAACGCTTTATAAATAATAATGATACAATCATCTTCGAATATTTTAAGACTTGGAGTGCCGCTGTGTATCAAATGTATGCATTTTAAGAACTCGGACAAATCGCTGGGTCCCGTGTATGGAATGACCATGGAGCCGAAGGCGATGATAAATCAACCTTAATTGTTTTTTCCAAAAGTTTTGTCCACAGCCCAGCCGGAAATTTACGGCCCAGGCGTGGTTGCAGCCCTCCTCACACATGCACAGCGAAATCTAAATTTAGTAGCATAGCTACGCGATCGATTTGTAGATTTACTATCATTCGGAGAATAAACTAGCCTACGTGCAGATTTTAAAACAGCCATTATAAGTTATTGAGCTATATTATCGTTCCACCGTGCCGCGGTGTGTGTACGTGGGCCGGTTATAGTAGCAAGTAAACAAATGGGATAAGTTGAAATTGGAGTAGTTTCGTTAACTTGCTCGAACGGTCGACCACCCACTGAATGCTCAGCGCGACTACCCGGTGAAATAAACGGAATACGGTTGACGTTTTTTGCTCGAACGGGCCCTTGGAATGTGCATTCACAGATAGCCTTGATTGAACACGTCAGGAGCAATAATGTGAAGGTTAAATTAAATGCATTATTACACCTGTGATTATCAACGTGCCAATACCTCAACCTTCAACACGTAAACTTTCGTTTACCTGACGAATGTTGAATTTTAGTTTCATTCAGTACGGTATGCCCAAAGGCACAGACATTTATGCGCTTTAAAAATCTATTAATTGATTGATTTATTGAAAATATTGGATGGCTTTAACTTTTAGCGTGTCTGACATAAATACTTTGACGCTAGAATTCAGAAGTCTATAAAACACACCTTCTCCTATGCATTATTTTCAGCAATCTACATCTCGAATAGGCCCATATTAAACTTGATTTTACGAATGTATAAAAAGTCAGAAACAAAAAAAAAATGGAATAATGGTAGGATTAGCCTATGTCTATTAAAATGTAACAGAAAGTGAAAGAGAAGAAATCTTTAAAAAAAAAATAATAACTAGACTTACTATGTCTGTTTGAACAACAGAACATAGGGCTTTTCCCCATTGCTTTAATGAGAAATGAAGATGAAATTGCAACAAAAGGAAAAGATGTTAAAAGGTATAAAGTAAAAAAAAAAAAAACACGGAAAATCAATATAATTTTAATGAAGTGGAAGAAAATGAAGTGAAAAAAAAAACAAAAAAAACGAAAACCAAGTTCACTGCGATGTTATGAGTGAGACTTGATCTATGGCTGCAATGGTAAATAGCGAGGTATATTGTGACTCATACCCATCGCGCGCTATATGAGCCGACCTTGCATAGGAAAGTGAATTTTCAGTTCATAGCTATTGTTCATGCATATCACGGTAGTTTTTAGTTTAACCTAGCTGTAACTGGTTTAAGCGCTTTAGAAAACGCAAATTGCGTTTAAATAATTTATTCAACTGTCAACAAAAAATCTTTAAATGGTCCTCATTTCCACACCCTCTCCTATGCATTATTTTCAGCAATCTAGATCTTAAGGAACTCATTCAGCTTCGGTCAACATCATGCAGTAGAACACTTAGATCTACGTCAAGCTCTACAACACTTTCACCCTCTTGGAGCCGCACTAAATACGGAGAGAGGTGTTTCCGGGTTGCAGCTCCTAAACTTTGGAACGCACTTCCCAGTACCATTCGTGAATCAACCTCCCTTGCGGTATTTAAATTAAGACTTAAAACACACCTTTACAAACCTTGTAATTTTTTATTTTGTTTTTTTCATATTTTTGATAGGCTATTTTAGTTACCCAACACCATTAGAGCATCTGTGAGTTGTGATCTTGCCAACTGCTGCTTAATTGCCAGTGGTCTCAAATTGCAGAGAACGATCGCAATGGTGTTGGCTCTTCTGTAATAGTCTGTCTCTTCTGACTTTTAGTTTCTGTGTAGCCTAGGATAGCTTTGTTTTTTCTTGTTTTTCCTTGTTTTGCACATAGAGACCATGTACTTTGCGCTATATAAGTCTCCAACCATTACCATTACCAACCATTACCATTACCCTACTGCGGATCGTCACCAAAATTGGATTATTTCTTCTTTTCACCATGAAAAACTATTCTGCAAAGTGCCATTTTTATCCATCTATAACTGTGACGTAAGTAATTTAAATGACCCTCAAATTTACCCCCTAACCTGGATCGTCCCCTACACATAATATCTTCCTTGTAACTTGGTTAAACATTTTCCGAATGTTTCATTCAGATCAGTTTATCCGTTTTCGAAATATGTGGTCTGGGACGTTTTCCTTTCAATGGTCCTCATATTCACACCCTACGCCGGATCATAACAAAAATTCAGTCATTCCTTTACTGGACCTTTACAAACTATTATAGAAAGTTAAATTTACACCCATTAAATCAGCTAGAGCTGTAAAATTAAAACTATGGGCCTATTATTTGAGATGTCTTCCGATCACTTTATTCACCAATGTTGACATTTTAGAAGGAACGTTACCGTATCAACGCTTTATAAATAATAATGATACAATCATCTTCGAATATTTTAAGACTTGGAGTGCCGCTGTGTATCAAATGTATGCATTTTAAGAACTCGGACAAATCGCTGGGTCCCGTGTATGGAATGACCATGGAGCCGAAGGCGATGATAAATCAACCTTAATTGTTTTTTCCAAAAGTTTTGTCCACAGCCCAGCCGGAAATTTACGGCCCAGGCGTGGTTGCAGCCCTCCTCACACATGCACAGCGAAATCTAAATTTAGTAGCATAGCTACGCGATCGATTTGTAGATTTACCATCATTCGGAGAATAAACTAGCCTACGTGCAGATTTTAAAACAGCCATTATAAGTTATTGAGCTATATTATCGTTCCACCGTGCCGCGGTGTGTGTACGTGGGCCGGTTATAGTAGCAAGTAAACAAATGGGATAAGTTGAAATTGGAGTAGTTTCGTTAACTTGCTCGAACGGTCGACCACCCGCTGAGTGCTCAGCGCGACTACCCGGTGAAATAAACGGAATACGGTTGACGTTTTTTGCTCGAACGGGCCCTTGGAATGTGCATTCACAGATAGCCTTGATTGAACAGGTCAGGAGCAATAATGTGAAGGTTAAATTAAATGCATTATTACACCTGTGATTATCAACGTGCCAATACCTCAACATTCAACACGTAAACTTTCGTTTCGTAGTTTCATTCAGTACGGTATGCCTTAAGGCACAGACATTTATGCGCTTTAAAAATCCATTAATTGATTGATTGATTAAATATTGGATGGCTTTAACTTTTAGCGTGTCTGGTACATAAATACTTTGACGCTAGAATTCAGAAGTCTATAAAACACACCCTCTCCTATGCATTATTTTCAGCAATCTACATCTCGAATAGGCCCATATTAAACTTGATTTTACGAATGTATAAAAAGTCAGAAACAAAAAAAAAATGGGGTAAGGGTAGGATAAGCCTATGTCTATTAAAATGTAACAGAAAGAGAAAGAGAAGAAATCTTTAAAAAAAGTAATAATAACTAGACTTACTATGTCTGTTTGAACAACAGAACATATGGCTTTTCCCCATTGCTTTAATGAGAAATGAAGATGAAATTGCAACAAAAGGAAAAGATGTTAAAAGGTATAAAGTAAAAAAAAAACAAAACACGGAAAACCAATATAATTTTAATGAAGTGGAAGAAAATGAAGTGAAAAAAAAAAACAAAACAAAAAAAACCCGAAAACCAAGTTCACTGCGATGTTATTAGTGAGACTTGATCTATGGCTACAATGGTAAATAGCGAGGTACATTGTGACTCATACCATAGAGTCTGTTTTATTTTCTCTATGCTCATACCCATCGCGCGCTATATGAGCCGACCTGGAATAGGAAAGTGAATTTTCAGTAGGTATTGTTCATGCATATCACGGTAGTTTTGAGTTTAACCTAGCTGTAACTGGTTTAAGCGCTTTAGAAAACGCAAATTGCGTTTAAATAATTTAATCAACTGTCAACAAAAAATCTTTAAATGGTCCTCATTTCCACACCCTCTCCTATGCATTATTTTCAGCAATCTAGATCTTAAGGAACTCATTCAGCTCCGGTCAACATCATACAGTAGAACACTTAGATCTACGTCAAGCTCTATAACACTTTCACCCTCTTGGAGCCGCACTAAATACGGAGAGAGGTGTTTCCGGGTTGCAGCTCCTAAACTTTGGAACGCACTTCCGAGTACCATTCGTGAATCAACCTCCCTTGCGGTATTTAAATTAAGACTTAAAACACACCTTTTTCAAACCTTGTAATTTTTTATTTTGTTTTTTTCATAATTTTGATAGGCTATTGTAGTTACCCAACACCATTAGAGCATCTGTGAGTTGTGATCTTGCCAACTGCTGCTTAATTGCCAGTGGTCTCAAATTGCAGGAAAACGATCGCAATGGTGTTGGCTCTTCTGTAATTGTCTGTCTCTTCTGACTTTTAGTTTCTGTGTAGCCTATGATAGCTTTGTTTTTTCTTGTTTTTCCTTGTTTTGCGCATAGAGACCATGTACTTTGCGCTATATAAGTCTCCAACCATTACCATTACCAACCATTACCATTACCCTATTGCGGATCGTCACCAAAATTGGATCATTTCTTCTTTTCACCATGAAAAACTATTCTGCAAAGTGCCATTTTTATCCATCAATAACTGGGACGTAAGTAATTTAAATGACCCTCAAATTTACCCCCTAACCTGGATCGTCTCCTACACATAATAATATCTTCCTTGTAACTTGGTTAAACATTTTCCGAATGTTTCATTCAGATCAATTTATCCGTTTTCGAAATATGTGGTCTGGGACGTTTTCCTTTCAATGGTCCTCACATTCACACCCTACGCCTGATCATAACAAAAATTCAGTCATTCCTTTGCTGGACCTTTACAAACTATTATAGAAAGTTACATTTACACCCATTAAAAACTTTTTATAGATATTTACGTCTGGGATCTCAAAAATTTAAATGAACCTCCAATTTACACCCTTGACTGATTCGTCGCCATCAAATAATACTATCTTTCTTGTAACTTGGTTAAACATTTTCTGAATGTTTTATTCAGATCAGTTGATCCATTTTCGAAATATTTGGTCTGGGATGTTTTCCTTTCAATGGTCCTCAGATCTACACCCTGATCCGGATCGTCACAAACATTTAATAATTTCTTTACTCGGTTTAAATTATACCCATTGATTTTTTAAAGAGATATTTAGGTCTGGGTCCTAAAAAATTGAAAAGACTCTCAAATTTACACCCTTCACTGGATCGTCGCTAAGACATAAAAATGTCTTCCTTTTACCGTGATTAAACTTTCCCGTTAGTTTCAGATCAACTGACCGATTTTTGAAATATCTGGGAAGAATGTTTGACCTTAAACCACTTTAATTGGTCCTAACACGCACACCCCACCATAGATTGTATGTATGTATGTGTGTATATATATATATATATATCTGTCTC